GACTTTAGCAGTAGCTAATTACTTAAAGTTACTTTGTTTTTGGCAAACAAAGAGGAGGTGCACACAAACAACTGCCTTGACCTATGGGATATATATGCTACTCATCCACTGATATCTGTATCGGAAACCCCTTCTGCCTCTGTCTTTGTGCCTCACAGACATGATGTTGTTAATGTGGGGCTTATTCTCTTCTTTTATTAGTAGCTATGGACAATAGTTGTATGCTGGGGAGCTGGTGCTTGGGTGTACTGAAAACTTTAGTGTTTTTTGGATGAAACTGCACCACAGTAATATGTGGTACATCACTGCAAGCAAACGGAAAGCTATTGTGGTGTCACCAACAACCTCACATTGCTGTTGCTGCTGCTGACTTTGTAAAAAAAAAATATCCTAACATCCTAATAAATATCCTAACAAAATTAAACACAAATAAAATAGAGCTCAAGGACAAAAAAGTAAAGAAAAATAAAACAAAAAACAAAAACATCAGCCCTAAATCATTGCTATCTTGCAGCACGTCCAGGTCACAACCTCTCAGAGCAGGAGAGAATTTGAATTGCTTTGCTCATCTAAATTGATAATAAATCACTTTCGGTTGTCTTTGACTGCCTAAGAAAACCCAGAGATAATATTTTTTGCAACTGAGTAGAGGTAAGAATCTTATTGTGCAGCGTAATTCTGCAACTGGACAATTTAACTTATAATTCCTTAGTAGTATAACAGCGTACATGAAACTGAAGTCTATTTTTTTCATAACTTTAGATTTCCACTACTTCACTTAGCTTTGTGCTCAACTTCCTCCTCGTTTCAGTACCAGTAGACCTCTTTGAACAGAATGACACTAGCAAAATTCTACTCATTACCTGTGAGTCCACCTGTCATTTACATGTCCCCTAGAAGGCACATGGTGGATGAGAGGGCTGGAGTTCCACTTTAAGTAGGTTTAAAATCCTAAACATATTAATCATATGAATGGAGACAACATACACAGACTATTCAAAGGACATGTCAAGCTGTGGCAAATTCAATGAAAATCTGATACCTATATAAAACAACCCATATACATGTAACAGGTAATGTGGTGGCTAAACTTACAATGTAAGAAAAAAATAGCTTTTGGATTCAGAATACTATATGACCTCATTCAGTGTTTTATTCGGATTAATTCCAAAGGTCCTTTGCAAGTCTGGGAAAAACTGAGAACATATGAATCTTGGGTTTCCTCTTACTGAACTGACGTAATCATTACTATTTCTTGCTCTAAAGCCACACATCATCCTTAAAATAGTTGGCCAGAAATTACTAACATTTCTGTATCTATTTTAACCAGATCCAGACTAACTTCTGTGGAGCATGTAGGCACAGAGTTTATTCACTGAATCACTTTATGCATCTGCTGGTAGCTGCTTACTCTCAAACTACAGTAACGACCATGTCTACAGCTTACAGTATGTTGTCCTTGGCACAAATAAACAATGGCCCTTATTCAGACCGACTACACTCCTTTTGTCAAAATTAAAGTTTTATTGTGCAAATTTAAAATAAAATGTGCCATACCCATGGAATTGGAATTGACATGCCACCAATAGGAGGTTGCTAACAAAGAATAGGCTGCTTTTTATTTGAGCTATAAAGTCTAAATGACATACAAGCTAGTATCAACATGACAAAGTACCTCATTTATACTGCCCTCCCTCCACAATACCAGTTTATATGACTGATGTGGCTGGAGGATAGCTTTTTAGAATAGGAAAATACATATTTTTTCTTATTCAATCTGCTGGTGAATCCCAGGAAAACTGGTTCTCTTACTAGCTATAACAATTTCATTGTACAGAGTGTAAAGGAACACTTAAATCTGAACTTCAGAAAGGTGCCCAAATAATGTAAAAGCAGAATTGATGTCAGGCATCCCAGCTCCCCCTGTGTATCCTGTGCCTTAAGTAGGTGTTGTGCCAGGTGCATCCAGCACCAGCCCTGGTTCTCTTGCCCTGCCCTACCCTGCCTGGATTCCTGGATCTTCTGCTCTTTCCTCCTGCATTACTGCCTGGAAGTTCTCTGGATCTTTCCTACACCTTGTTAATGGGGCAACCTTGTTAAGTATCCTCACCTTCGGATTTCTTTGGCAAGCGGTTTTGTTTATCTGATTGGCTCCTCATATTTGATGAAGCCAAACCTCATATAGCACATATCCTCACCTTCGGCTTTCTTTGTAGAAGTTACCGATATTATTGTGTGGACTGTACATGTACAGTGGGGACCTGTCATCAAATGAAAGAAGATTCTCCAAAAGTATCCTTTACAGTATTGACATGTCAATATGCCAGTATGCATGTGAAACTCATGAAGCCAATTGAAACCTCATATACTGCACATCTGTTCTATTATCTTTAGCCTCTGCACCTAAGGAGAATGACTGTTATTAATTACAAACAGCTGCTGAACACCTACATATCTAAACTGTATAATCCAAAGTAGGAAAATAGACTTTTGTTACTTTATAAGAATGTCTATTAAAAACGTGCAGTGCTATGTACTGTACATGTATATGAAATTAAAAGATAAGTTCACCTTTTAGACAAAAATAATAAATGCACATTTTTTTTTGCAGGTAGAACAATTTGCATTTATTATTTTTGTCTACAGGAGCCTAGAAAGCATTGTACCAGCGATCGCTTTCCAGATCACTGATGCCATGCAGGTCTCCTGCAAATCTGTCAGTCAGATTATCTGCTTGCCGTATGGAGTGTACGATCAAGCAGATATTCTGACAGAAAGCTTCAATGAACTAACGCAGTGCTCCACAGCGCCCTGGTAGTTCATTAAAATCTACAAGCCGACAGCCGCTAAGGGTGTCGGGACTTGAAGTTCATTCATTCACCGAAGTCCATGAATGACGTGGCTGCGTGGGTGGAGCCCTGCACAGTCACGCTCTTTTCAAATTTGACAGATAGTATGGGGAGACTTCTCTGTCAGAGGGAGAGAGGGCAGCGGCTGCAGCTATGGGAATACACTACATGCTCCACCATAAAAACAGGTGGAACATGTAACATGTTCCCAAAGTTGAACTTATCCTTTAAGGGAAATAAAATAGATAAATAAATATGAAACTTTTGTGTAATTTCATACCCTCTGCTGATAAGTAAATAAATAAAAGAAAGATATGTATCCTCATAACGTACTCAAAATGTGCTTTACAATATATGTGCTGAGAGTAAACATTCATGTGCAAACCTTTTGCTACTTTAAAATATACAGTTCAATAAAGTGCTCCCAATAAAGTTTTCATTCACTGTGTCTTAATTGTGTTTTGTAAACATTCAAATCTTCTGTGCCAATTTGTAGTGATTCACAATTCAATGTGGTTCAAAAGAACTCCAGTGACCTTGGTGACCGATGCCAATCCACACACACCTTATGAAAAACTCACTCACTGGATTTCTTATGATCCCTTATATCATTAGAAGATTTCAAAGTGCTTTTCGTATACATGTGTCTCTTTAAAATCTCCTCCTTTCTCTTCTGTACTTCGGTTTCCTCTATTTGAGCCAGCGTCCTCTAGTCTCCATGCCATCAAGGGGCCAATATGGGGGAACCCAAATATAGTGTAACTTCTTTTTTTAATAAGAAAACATTTTAAAACGTGTTGGGGAAGAGCCACAGCGTAGGCAGACACATCCAGTGCTGGAGTGCACGGGTCCTTCAGATTTAGAGTGGCTGACTATGAACTTTGGTATGGGATGGTGTGCTACAGCACACTCTGAGTCTGCATAGATGGGTGATTTTTGAATCTGTCATTTTTATCTTGTTACATGTGAGTAGATTTGCTTGGTTTATATAATAAATACATGTTGCAACGTACTGCATCGTGTAAGTTGCCACTTTTGGCCTGTGGGTGGTTCATCCTTCATGGAGGTCTGAGCAGCAGCATACACAGACAGATGAGGATTATTCTGGGATCATTTTGAGCACTTGTGGCTATCTTGATTTAGAAGCATTGCTGTCCAGAGAATTCAGATTTGTTCAACCAGTGAAGCGGATCACCTGTGGATTGAATTTCATGTACTGGAACTGAACACAGGGTCGAAAAATTTGTAGCTATTGGGAACTGAGAGTTGAACAGAAGGAGTAAAATGGACATTTTGTATTTCTTTTGCATGAACACTTTTGCAGAATTGATCACAGGTTGTTGGAGCGCTGGACACATTTGTATACACATGGCTTATGTTTATTTAGGAGTGCTTCATTAATATAGATGTCATTAGGGCCCATTCACACTGATAAGTTTTTGATGTGCTTTTGTTCAGCTTAAGGGTTCTTTCTGTGCTTCTGATGCCTTCCCACTGACTTACAAATGGAAGACGCTTTTGAAAAACTGCATCGAAGATGATGCAGGACTTTTGAAAGTGCAGCACACCTGCAGTGTGAATAGTTCCATAGGATTTAAAAGGATACATTTTCATGCATTTTTCTTCAGCTTTAAAACCCCAGAAGCACATAAAAAAATAATCGGTGTAAAAGGGCCCTTATATTTTTGATGTGTGAAATGTTTAAGCATTTATGAGGGGTTAACACTTGAAGAGCTGTGCTATAAAAGGTTTCAATTGGCTTCATGAATTTCACAATTTTTTGGTATTATTAAGCATAGCAGTTGTGTAATATGTATGAATATATATATATTATTTGATTTGCACATTTTTAGATCTGACCTCATAATTAACATTTTGTTTTTGTTTTTTACTGAGCGCAGAGTGGGGATGATTTTAAATATACATTGTATTGCCAAAAGTATTGGGACGCCTGCCTTTACACGCACATGAACTTTAACAGCATCCCAATATTAGTCTGTAGGGTTTAATATTGAGTTGGCCCACCCTTTGCAGCTATTCAGCTTCAGCTCTTCTCAGCTTCACAAGGTTTAAGAGTGTGTCTATGGGAATGTTTGACCATTCTTCCAGAAGTGCATTTGTGAGGTCAGATACAGATGTCGGTCAAGATAATCTGCTAATCTGAAGGCCATACAAAGTTTGGAGGTCTTTAGCTATTGACTGTGCAGACAGTTGGCGAATTCTGAATACTGAGTGCTTCAGCATGCACTGAGCTCATTCTGTCATTTTACATGGCCTACCACTTCATGGCTTAGTTGCTGTTGTTCCCAGTTGCTTCCACTTTGCTTCAATCCCACTAACAGTTGACTGTGGAATATTTAGTAGCAAGGACATTTCATGGATGGACTTATTGCACAGGTGGCAACCTATCACGGTACCATGCTTGAATTCACTGAGCTCCTGAGAGCCACCCATTCTTTCACAAATGTTTGTAGAAACAGTTTGCATGCCTAGGTGCTTGACTCTATTCACCTGTGGTCATGGAGGTGATTGGAATACATGAATACAATGATTTGGAGGGGTGTCCCAATGCTTTTGGCAATAGAGTGTATATAATTTATTTTCCCGTAGAAATTTTTAAAAAGTAATATTGTACAAAAAAAAAAAGGAAAAACACAATAAAACACCCACAAATTAGAAAAGGGGGACACAGAAAAAGGATGGCCCTAAAAAGGATTGTTGGGTCTATTCACTTTGAGCACAGGGGGTAGTACACTCCAAAATGCAATTCCCATTGATGGAACACTGGAATGTACAGTGAATACTAGAAAAGGGGAGGCACTCCACTCTCTGTAGCCAACCACTTTGCAATTCACTGTAATGTAGCAGTGGCAATATACAGCACTGTATATTGCACTGTATAACTCTATAGGTAGTACACTAGCACTGCACAGTAGCACTAACACAACTTCTCCAAGAATCACTAACTGATCTCCAAGGAGATCTCTCTGAATAGAGACATGGGGCAGACACACATTTTCCAGACCTTATTATTGGCCATACTCTGCCACTGACAAAGATCATGCAATGTTTCTTCCGCAATTGGACAAATGGAGATTGTAATATTCATGTGCCCCCTGTTCTGTAACAGAACATCTTATATTAATTTAAAAGAATACAATATGTTTATTGATGAAGGAGCTGCAGAGCATGCTGCTCACTGTGATCACTGCATTCTAGCCCCCCCCCACTGTCAGTTTCAGTGCTGGAAGTTCAGATCTTAAATCATGGCAGCAAGTGCAAGAATCAGTTTTCAGGACCAAAGCAGAAGCCATGTGTTGGACACATATATTTTTATTATTTTTATATTATTATACAGGATTTATATAGCGCCAACAGTTTGGACAGCGCTTTACAAAATGAAGTTAGGCATTACAGTTACAATACAATTTGGTACAAGAGGAAACAGGGCATTATCATGAGAGGTATACTGTATATTAGAGGTATATTGTTATCTAGATATTGTTCTTGCTCTAAATTTAGCTTTAGGCTCCATTCACACTGAGCTAAACATTTTTCATGTGTTTTTTCAAGTGTTTTTTTTTCAGGCATCTTTGAGTGTTTTTTGAGCAGATTTGCAATTATTATTGGCGTTTTTTCAGGCGTTTTTCATTTAGGAGTTTTTGATGAGGCCAATAGAAATAGAAATAGCTGCTGCTTCAGCTTAAAATGCCTGAAAAAATGCTTTTAAAATGCTCAATCCCACTGTTCAGGTGTTTTCCATTCAAGGCTATGGGGACAAAATGTCCAGATCTGCCTGAAAAGTACTTTTTTGAGTGACAGGTTTTTGCTATAGGTGACAAAATGCTCATATGTGAACAAGGGCCATAGAAATGAATTGGATTTTGCTTGTTGAGCGTTTCTGAGCATCTGGGGTGGAGCTGAAAAACATCTTAGTGTGAATGGAGCCGTAATATACTGTATATCTAAAGTCAAAACCTTTTTTTTAAATTTTGGATAGAGTAGTGGAGGGTTAAAACCATTGTCATTTTTTTGCCATCTGTGTCTCACTAGAGAGATTCCCCTTCACTTCTAGTCCTGTAGACTCAAATAGGGATGAGCTGAATGTACCTGAGTTTATTTGCAGGAGGTTCACTGCACAGCTCACATGTTCTGGATGTTAATTGAAACTCAAAAATCAAGGAAACCAAAATTCTAACAACTTTCAGGGCTAGTAGGCAAGACAGAGTCACACAAACAGCTTGGAAGTGTGTACCAAAGCCAAAAAAAGTTTTAAAAAAATATAGTTTTGAGGCACGTAGCAATTTTAATAATGTTTGAAATAAAACAATAAAAATGACCAATTCCTTAAAAAACATGCTTGGGGGGATGCCTTAAATCTGCTTGTGAAATGCGTTCCTGTACACTGTATAGAATGTACTACAGCAAAACAGATGTTTAAAAAGAAGAAATGTCATTTAAATTGATGGTAAAGTAAAGTTCTCTGCCAGCTTGTTTTTTTTTTTACTATGTATGTTGAGGGGGTCCCTATATTGTTTTTTTTTATTCCAAAAAGGAAGCTGGCAGGAAAGAGTAAATTACAAGCAAGAGTTTTTTTCTATATGTAAACTATCACTTTTGGACATCCTGCAAAAAACAAAAAAATCATGGGGTCCCCTCCAAAATTTATACCAGATCCCTTTCCCTTATCCTTGATTAGGGTCTGTTGTGGTTTTACAGGGAGACCTTTGCAAAAAAAAAAGGTTATTAGGATCCCGCGGCAAAGCATCTTGTCCCCATGTCCCCTTTATAAATCCATCGTTAATCATGTCACCCAGCAGTGCTGATCCTGGTCAAATGATGTATGATACCTGTTGAAGAACAAAGCATGCCACCCAGCTGGCACAACCTACCCCAATGGAGATGTGCACCGAATAACAGATCTGGAGCTAACATCTGATCTGTAAACAAGGTGGCAGGGGGTGGTGGGTAATGTCATTGGCCAAATATTGCCAGGATACAAAATGATGCAGTTATTTCAGGTACACCAGCTATATGCATAGGCCACTTCCGAAAATAACAATGTACAGTATCATATGTGTTTATTGGATAGGATTGGTAAGATGCACCCTTTGTATTAGTACATGGATGTACATTTCAGATACAGTATACTTTTATTTCTTGCTTGATATATTATTATTTGTATCTTTTTTTTATCACAAGCATACATATTATTCATTATGCTGAACTTAACAACGTATAATATATTTCAGGACTTTCAAGAGAGTAATTAGTAGTTAGCAACTTCCTACAGCATAATGTCGACATATACAATATGCAGACATAATGCTATATTGCATAGTTTGGCATCAGGGAATGTTTTGCAAAGCCACGTATTCTAAAATCATAATGATTTCATTGCATTTACCACTTAACATAATGTACCTATTTGATATATTGTGCTAGCATATGTGCAATTGCTTTCTCCTAACTAAGGCTGGAATTGCTGATCTTGCAATGTTATTTATCTGGCTGCCATATTAAATCTTGGCTTGGGCAATAATTTCCAGCCACCAAGATCTCTATATCAGTGGAAAATTTTATTCATTTTGCCTCTAATAAACTAATACTTTTTCCTTGTCAAATGGATCTAGTACTGCTGAAATTCTAGGGGTGGGTGACACTGCTGACTATAGCTGTTTTAAACTCCAATTAAACCTTAAGTCTAAATCAGCTAAATAAATTCCACGTGCATGAAATAAAAGAAAAAATGTTTCCAATGTCTTACAGCTTTTTTTTTTCTGGCTAAAAGTCTGTCCCCTGCCAGCACTTGCAGAGAGGGTTCCTTGTTCTCTATGGGGAAGCAGTGGTCTCATTGCAGAGGTCTGAAACATTCTACTGAGTCAGACCCATAGCTTTACAATCAGCAAAGCTCATGCTCCCTACTGATTGGAAAACTCTGATTTAGTAGGTGACATATAGCACCTCTGTAAAGAAATTGTTGCTTCCCCACAGAGAACAAGGGGTTTACTGTGCAGCATTCTGTCAGGAAATATGTTTTTCTACTTAGGATTTGGCTGATTTTAGACAGACTATAAGGCCTCATTCACACCATACATGCATGAAAACTGATGGAAACTGACGCGTAGATTTCACTTGCGGAGACATCAGTTTACACCAGTTTTCATGTGCACTCCAATGAGTTTTATGCACGTTGCAGATTACTGTGCAGAAAAAAATATGCAAGTAACACTAGTGTTGTGGTGTGAACAGGGCACATAGAGAACAATAATTTTTTGTGCACTTGCAGAACATGTGCAGAAAAACTGATGTCTCTGCACACACATCGTGTGAAAATGACATACTGTAAGTTCAGACATTGCACCCATTCAATCTGCATGGAAGGTGTTTTCCTAAAAAGCCTTTGCTGTCCAAAATAAACATTAGAGCAAGATTACTGTTTGCTATTGAACATATAGATAAAGGCCATGTCATCTGTAACAATGGACTGAAGACTGATCAATCAAAGAAAGAGTTGGTTGATGGTCTATGCAGTTTTGGCAGTTACTATTGGTTTGGTTGATTATATACTTGTGGATAACAACATGGGAGTGAGTTTTGGACAGCCATAGGTATATGAGCAGTGTGTAATTGGGTCTAGGACAGGAGCCGTATGGGAACAGCCTGGAGTGTTATGTACCTAATCACAAACTGATCCCTGCTCTCCCTCGTTTAGAGCCAAGTCAGAGTTTGATCCTGCTCTTTGCTTAATATCTCCCATTTGGTTCTGTTTGGGTAATATGATCCTTTTCTCCCCCACAAGGTATACTGTTTCAATCTTTTCATGCTAGGTGATCTGATATGGCTTAGTGTTGCATCTCAAGCATGAATCCTGAAGAAGCAAATGCAGTGAAATGCGTTGATCCTATACGCCTATTGTTTGTTCACCACAAACTTAAAAGACTGTATGCTGCTGCTAGACCTAGACCATGATGTTCCTTGTTTTCAAGTAAACTGTCTATTTTATCTGGATGGATTAATAAATATATTTTTTTTATTGTTTTTTGTTTATTTATCCCATTGTGAGGTAAATATAAAGTCCCTTTTTTTCTGAGCAAGCTAGTTCCACATTTATGCTTAGGTGTGGTTACTTAAGCTTGCTCTTTAGTTCCTGCTTTGATTGAAAGTTTGGGATGGAACCACAATGTGGATACTTCTATTCACACATTGTCTCCTTGTTAATCAAAGAAAAAGTTGTTTGGTTACAGTAGACGTGTTTGACTCAAACCGAAGACAGTATTTCAGGAGAAGAACCTCATAACAATAGTGAGGCATGACGGTGGCATTTATGTGTCCAGGGGTTTCTTTGCTGCTTCAGGGCCTGGGATCTTTGATTTGATTCCCATCGAAAATTTGTATTGACATTTTGAAAGGACAGTTCATGCAAGGAAACCCACAAACATCTTGCAAATAATGGAGTTTTGCTCTGAAAATTGGCAAACCATTTT